ACACACACACACACACACACACACACACACACACACACACACACACAAAGAAAATGCCTAAAAAACAAAGCTAAACACATTTTATAAAAGTATGAGACTACTTCGGAAAAAAAAGCACAACATGAAAAAAAAAGCAAAATACGATGTGAATTTGAATTAAAAAAATTCTGTACTAAAATACATTTATGACAAAAAAAGCAAAATTATGAGAAAAACAAAACAGTAAAACAATCTAAAAATGACAGAAAAAATAAAACACATTCAAATACAAAACAAAGATTTTTTACATTCTCTCACACACGTTTGTATTTCTATCCTTATTAAGACCGCCCATCGACTTCTATTCATTTACAGTCGTTTGTGACCCCCATACCCCAAACCCCCTAGTATATACCTAAACCTTACCCCCAACCCAATAAATAGATTTCCTCCATATTAGGATCAGTCAAACATTGAACATTTAGGTCAAAAATTTTGGTAAAACCATAAAACTTTATGAGAAGTTATTTCCTCTGACATCACCTGGCACAATGTGAAGAGGTTATTTCTTATTGTCAAACCTCTGCAGCATCTCAAAGAGCATCGATAACTGATGTGAACAATCACACACGAGCAGCTGCAGTTTTGTAGTTTCATTCTTTTCTTAATCAAGTAGGATTGTCGAACCATTGCCTTGAACGATCCATTTCAGCTGCCACCAGGACCCAAAGCTCGGTCTTCTCTCACAAATCCTTGTTGGGAGTTTTACCAACCTGTCTGAGGAAAGCTTCCTTATTGGCCAACTCGTTCTCCAGTTTGTCGTTGATGTCGTGTACGGATGTGGCCTCCCTCTGAGCGCTCAGGTAGCGTTTCTCTAGCGTGACGATCCGTTCCTCCATGTCCTCCTTCTGGCACATGACCTGTATAAACAAACAAAAAACAGACAAAAGCTGCAGAATGAAACAAGACAATAAAGCTTTATAAAACACAAAGCCACAGCTGTGTTTTTATCTCCCACTGTTGCCACGTTTCCCTTCATTGTGACATTATCATAAAATCTACCAGAGTTCATTTCCTGCATGTAGAAATTACTGGAGACAACGGAACACACCCTTGCAAGCACGCATTGTTTCAAAAATCACACACAAAAATGGGTCTTTTGGAAGAACCGAAAAGAACTGCTGCTCTCAGATTAGCCAGTACAGGTTAATAACACACTGCCCTCCCAGAAAGGCCACGATAAATGTGTCTGCTAACATTGTTAGCAATCAATAGTAATTTCAGCCAGGGGCCATCAGGGCATCAGCCTATGTTCATAGGAGTAGAATCATGAAGTACKCAGCAGGTGATACACACAGATTTTATTTTGGATAGAGTTTTATTTTTTATTCAGTTTACAAATTCATTTTGAATCTTACCCATGAATGTAGAACACGGTATTTTTTGTACATGGAGCAATTGTCAAATCTGACAAATTTCCACATGTGAGAAATCCATGTGTTCAAAAGCTAAAGAACTGGATGTATGCAAATACAAGGTTTTCTAGGCCACTCCAAGACTTTGATGTTTTCTTTGCAGCACTTGAAATGTGCATGCCCCCCCCC